ATCACAGGGTACCCTGTGGTTTTACCAGCTGACCATGCAGAGGATATGAGGAAGTGGGATGAACAATCCACCTTGATCCTAGATGCAGACGTGCAGGAATTGAAGGGAAAAACAAGCACAGTGCATTTTTTTCCCAGGGAGGTTTCTGCTCTAGTCTCCGGCAGACACTTTTCCAGGCAGAATGAATGTCTGGTCATACTACTCACCCTGTGGAGAGAAGTTCTAGTCCATTTCTACAAGATGTTAGTGGGGAAACTTCACATCAGTATTAGAGAGGCCCTGCCTCTAGCCAGGTGGAGGAGAGGGATGACTGGGTTCACTGGACTGTGTGGATTCAATGGCCTGGCACAGCAGCCACACAGGATTAAAGGCTTTGGTAGACACTGGTGCACATTTTATCCTAATGCCATCAAGCTATACAGGGACAGAATCCATTTGTATTTCTGGAGTGATAGCTAACTCTGCTGGAGGCTAAGATTAGTCCAACTGGGAATTAGAGGCAAAAGCACCCTAGTGTGCCCAGAGCAGAGACTCCACGCATCCTTGGCATAGACTGCACCAGTAGATGATATTTCAGAGATCCAAGAGGGTATTGGTGTAACTTCTCCAGAGGCAGAGGAAATTAGGCTTCTCTCTACCTTGCCTGGTCTCTCAGAGGACTCCCCTGTTGTGGGGCTGATGAAGGCTGAAGAACAGCAGGTGCCAGCCACCACCACAGTGGTGCATGGGAGGTAATGACGCTCCAACAGAGACTCTGTAACTCCTACCCATGAGGTGGATTGCTGGCTGGAGAGATAAGGAGTGATCAGCAGGGCCTCTCACCCCTTAACAGCCCATATGGCAAGTGTGAAAGTGTAATGGGGATGGAGACTAAGAGCAGATTTTCATGGCCGGAGTGAATGCCACCTCAGAGTGCTGACACACCCAACATTCTGGAGCTTCAACATGAACATGAGTCAAAGGCAGCCAAGTGGTGCCACCACTGACATTGCTGACGTGTTTTTCTCAGTCCCTCTGGCAGCAGAGAGCAGGCCACAGTTTGTTTTGACTTGGAGGGATGGCCAGCAGACCTGGACCTGACTGTGCCAGGGATGGAAACACAGCCCCACCATCTGCCGTGGACTGATCTAGACTTCACTGGAGCAGGGTGAAGCAGCACACCTGGAATACATTGATGATATCTTTGTTTGGAGGAATACTGCAGGAGAGGTTTTTGAGAAAGAAAATCCAAATCCTTCTAAAGTCCATTTTTTCCATAAAACAGGGTAAGCTAAAGGGACCTGCATAGGACATGTAAATTTTAGGAATGAAATGGCAAGATGGACGTCACCAGATCCCAATGGACATTATTAATAGGATAACAGTGATGTGCCCACCAACTACGTGGAAATAAACACCAGCTCTTAGGCACTGTGGGATTTTGGAGAATGAACATTTCAAATTAATCTGATTGTAAGCTCTCTCTAGCATGGGACACAGAAGAAGAATGATTTTGAATGGGGCCCTGGGCAGCAACAAGCCTTTGAATAAATCAGTCAGGAGATAATTCATGCTATATCCCTCAGGCCAGACTGAATAGGGCAAGATGTAAAAAATGTGCCTTATACTGAAGCTGAAGAGAATGTTTCTTCCTGGAGCCTCTGACAGAAAGCACCAGGTGAGGCTCAAGGTTGAATCCTAGGTTTTTGTAATTGGGCATACAGAGGATCTGAGGCCTATTAGACTCCAACTAAAAAGGAGATACCGGGCAGCTTATGGTGCCCAAGCCACTTTGGAAGTGATTGGTACTGAAGCACAGCTCCTCCTGGTACTCTGGTTATACAATGGGCTGGATATTCAAAGGGGGGATCTCCTCTACACATCATGCAACCAGTGCTATATGAAGTAAGTGGATTGCAATAGTTGCACAATGAGCTTGGATAGGAAACCTCATCATCCAGGAATCTTAGAAGTGATCACGGACTGACCAGAAGGCAAAGATTTGGGAATGTCACCAGAAGGAAAGGTAATATGTGCTGGAGAGTCTCCACTATGTAATACATTACCAAAAAGGAAAGAGCAATGTGCCTATTTTATTTCAGTCCTTGCTGTCCTTTTGGGAAAGCACTGGAAAGTGGCTGTATGGAGTCCCCCACAAGTTGCAGAAACTGCTGAAGGAGAAGGTGAATCAAGTCAGTTTGCAGAGTTGAAAGCCATCCAGCTGGCCTTAGACATTGCTGAATGAGAGAAATGGCCGATGCTTTATACTGATTCACAGGTAGTGGCAATTGCTCTGTGGGGCAGTTGCAGTAATGGAAGCAAAATAATTGGCTGTGTAGGGGTAAACCCATCTGAGCTGCTGCATTGTGGCAAGATATTGCTGCCGGGATGGAGATCCTGGTTGTAAGGTGTGTACTCAGGTGGACCTGGACTGGCAACTCAAGGGTAAATTATTTCTAGCTTGGTGGGCCCATGACACCTTGGGACACCAAGGAAGAGATGCAACATAGAGATGGGTTTGGGATTGAGAGGTGGACTTGACCAAGGGCACAGGTTATCCATGAATGTGAAACATGAGCTGCCGTAAGGCAGGCCAGGCGGGTAAAGCCTCTTTGGTATGGAAGATGATGCCTGAAGTGTAAGTATAGGGAGGCCTGGCAGATTGACAATATCATACCTAAATGATAAATCTAAGTGTCATACCTAAATGATGGCTAAGTGTCATGTGCTTACAGTGGTGGAAGCAGGCACTGCATGTGCCCTGTGCCTCATGCCGCTGCCTGGAACACCATCCTATGCCTGGAAATGCAAGTCCTGTGGCAAAATGGCATCCCAGAAAGATCTGAATCAGAGAGTGGAACTTCCTTTCTAAACATTCTCATAAACATTTGGGCCAAAGAACAGGGCATTGAGTGGATGTATCATTCCCTTCCATGCACCAGACTCTGGAAAGAATGAATTATGTAATGGACTGTTAAAGACTACACTGAGAGCAATGGGTAGTGGGACATTCAAATGTTGGGATAAACATTTAGCAAAGGCCACCTGGTTAGATACCAGAGGACTTGCCAGTCAGGCTGGCCCTGACCAAAGATTGTTGTGGTGTAGAAGGGGATAAATTTCCTGTAGTGCATACTAAAAAGATGCTGGGGAAAACGATCTGGGTTATTCCTGCCCCAGGCAAAGGCAAACCCATCTGTGGGATTGCTTTTGCTCAAGGACCCAGGTGCACTTAGTGGGTAATGTTGGAGGATGGGGAAGTCCTGTGTGTGCCTCAAGGCGATATGATTTTAGGTGAAAATAGCCAATGAGTTAAATTGTATGTTCATCACTATGCAACACTCTATTACCACTTCTGTGTGTAGAAGTGGTAATAATAGCTGCATGTGTGTCACCTCACGGCATCAATCCTAATCACAACTGTTCTGGGGATCTGAGCCTGACATCCCTCTGATCATTGCAATCACAAAAATGAACTTTGATAAAACCAAGTGCAGCAGTACCGGGATCAGAACTGACTCAAATGTGCAGCATGCAAGACCTCATACCATCTTTTCTGCTTGAAAGACTTACCAAGGATAAAGGCCAAAGTAATGGATTAAATAAATTCAACAAACTTTTTTAATTGTGTGGATGTTTTATGAACATTTAACAGACTGTTCTATTGTCTAAGAGAATGATGTTTGTCTATCTATCAAACAGATAAATAGGGAAGGCGATGGGATATTAGAGAGTATGCAATTTGACATAACACAGATGATATGGAATAAGCAGTGGGTATTGTTCTGATTACAGCTAGGGTAATTTCTTCTCAGTAGCTGTTACAGTGCTATGTTTTGGATTCAGAATGAGGATGGTGTTGATAACACAGCGATATTTTGGTTTTTGCTAAGTTGTGTTTATCCAAACTCAAGGACTTTTTCCCTCCTCGTCTGCCAGTGAGAAGATACAAAAAAAAAAAAAAACTCAGAACAAACTGGGAGGGAGCATAGCTGGGACAAATAACCTAAACTAACCAAACGGATATTCCACAGCAGAGAACATCATGCCGGTATTAAATTGTGGGGTTACCTAGAAGGCCTGCGGATCTGGGTACAGGAAGGGGAGTGTGGCATCTGTCTGGCTGGTGAGCAATTGCATCATGCATCACTTGTTTGTTTTATTATTTCCCATTATTATTGTATTTTACTGCATTTTCAGTTATTAAACTGTTCTTATCTCAACATACAAGTTTTACTTTGACTCTCGTCCCCCTTCTACCAGTGTGGGGGGAAAAGAGAGGGGAGTTGAACAAGCGGCTACGAGGTATTTCATCTCCAGCTGGGCATAAAACTACAATACATGTTTTTGAATATGTTATTTCACGAGTTTTTGAATATGTTATTTTAAATAGAAAACTGAAAAAACACTTCAAAAATGTGCAAAAGGTCAGGAGTAGCAAGTTCAAAACCTGTGCTCCCAGAACCAATCTCCACAGAAGGCAGCTAACAAGGCACTGTTTTCAGCAGTTTCCTTCTAAGGAACTCACTTTTACAAGCGTGATGACAGGAGAGAGACCATGCTCCCATCTTTCCTTCCCCAGTAAAATTACTGAAGAGGAATAAGGTAGCAGAAATCCTTTTACCAGCAAATCACAGAAACTCTGCCCTGGGTTGTTACAGAGCAAAGCACAGACTGCTGTTATGCATTATTTATTCTAAGTACTCAGAGGTCTGATCAGAAGAGATAAATGTAATGAATACTTAAGATTTAGAATTTAAAACTAATTAAGTCTGCATATATAAACTTTTATTTACATAAGGCATCAAAACTGCCCTTTTTAACAAAAGGGTCATTTTTCCCTTTAATCAATACTTTGATGAAAGAAATGTCATATTTAATAAACTAATCATCACTATTAAACTGGTGTACTTGTTCTGAACAAGCAGGTATAATCCAATGTACAAGATGAAAAATATCCAAGCATACTGTTTCATTAATTACTCTTTAGAACAAATTATTAAGGCTTGTTTGCATCACAATGATGATCAATCATGCATCATTTATTCCCACAAAGAATAAAATCCATTTCCAAATGAAGCAGGAATAGCAGTAGTCTTGTATAATCCCCATATTGTTTACATGAAAAACAATCAATTTGGCATCTTAGAAATTAGATTGAAAAGTAGGGGGAAAGAGAGGAAAACAGAAAATGGCCTTTGCTTCAGAATCCTTTATAAGCATTTTCAGTTTCCACTTGCAGAAACCCTTCAGCTTAAAGAGGAAAAGTGGGACTTGTCAAGGTTTGAACTAAAAACATTTTCAGAAAGACTAGAGTTATGGTTTCATTGATGATGAATATTAAGTGTCTAGCCAAAATACATTATTTGGAATAATGAATTCCACACTGATATCCCCAAGTAAATGGCATATATACATTAGGCTGAGCCTGTTTTAATAGGTCTGATTTATAAAAATGGTAAACCTGTATTATGCTTCTGCCTGATGTAACAGTTCCTGAGTTTTAGATCACTGCTAAGCCACAGCAGACAAAACTCTGAATGATGTAATGAGAAGTTTTGCAAATCACTTTCAGCAACAGCACACATTTTGTTCAGCAACCTTCAATCATCAATGAAAGTCAGTCTTCCAGGTCCTTCATTTTTCATCCACCGCCGATATCTCTTCCATCGGGGATCCATGGCCATCTTCTTCTTTAACTCCTCCTCTTGTTCTCGTTTATACACCTGGTAAGACAAAGAGAAGTTTCTGATAAGGGTGAAGAAACACTTAACTGAGCCTCTAGTGGGGGGTCTGTCTAAGTGTTTATTCTTCAATCGTTTGCCAGCTTATTTTTCTTACAAAAGACTGGATTGCAGTGCAGAAGCAGCCCCTGACCAACACAGTGTTGGAGCACCTGCAGCCCAAGAGCCTACTACTTACTGCCCAAGATGCTTTGTGTTCTGCTGAGAGCAGAACAACCTTACTGTAAGCTCCAAAACATTTTTTTTGGTAGACCAGTAGATGCTCAACTAATTCAACAAAATACACGCTAAGCAACTGCTCATGTTCTGAAAAGCTAACGTCGTGAGTCCCTTTCAGCACACATGCTGTTCAGTGCAACTGTTCAGCTCCTCATTTTAGCTGTTCTCCCTTTTCAAAGTCATCATCTAACAGAAAACCACTATGGAACTTTTTGTTCCCAAGTAAGGTTCTCAACAAAGCTGAGAATATCTCAAATATCTCTGCATCCAGTATTTACAGTACTACAAGATAAACTATTATATTCTGTCAAGAAATATTCTGTCACCGCAATGGAATCTACAGTTATCAACAGAGTCAATAATCTTAAAAAAAAAAACACCCACAAAAATGCAACAGTATCTGCATTTTTATTCTGGAAGGCAGTTTATGTAAATGCAGCCAGCATAAATCTCAACACCATCCATGATTTTATCATCTCAGTGTCATGTGACTTAGTCTGACTCAAAGGCCAATTAAATTTAGAGTTCCACTATGCATGAACAAGATTTTAAAAATATATTATGGATGGCTACACGAATACACAAACTCAATGCTCAGTGATCATAAGGGTTTTAAGAATCATTGGGAAACAGTAAAAACATTGTGAAGCTCTATGATGTCCCTGTGTATTGAATTCCTGGTCTTTCCCACCCTAAAGCACTGGAAAACAACAATACTTAGATAGACATCTCCAGTGATGAAGGAACAGACAAGCTTTTGGGGAGAAACACTACAGCATTATTTTTCAGCATAGAAAATACATTACTACGTTTCAAGTAAGGATATAGCAGTGGTACACAAAAGCACAACTAGCAGAACAGAACAGAATAGAGCATGATTATTCTTCATTTCCAATAATACTGGAATGAGCAGGAGTCCAGGTGGCTTCAAAAAAATCCTCTTCCACCACCTTCTACAAGTACTGATGAACTCATGACCAGATGGCACAGCAGAGACTGAAAACTTCAATGCACACAAGTGACCAGGTAAAATTCATTAAAGCAATTACCTACAAAGACACCACTTCCTTTTCAGATAGTCACAAAGCTGCAAAATAGCTTGGATAAACATTACTATACAGGTGCAGTTGACATGTATTTCTCCCAGAAAATTAATTGCTAGCCACCACAGGAGACAAGTGTGAGCTAAAAAGACTTCACTTGTGGCAAATACAGCTCTTTCACATTCAGTGACCAAAACATCCTTAGTTAAAAACTGCATGGATGAGAAACCAGGGCAGTTTTTCTCTACTACAGGATATCCATCCAACCTCTTTCAATATTAACAACTACTTTAACCAGCAGCACTACTCAGTCATGGGACTTCCAGACTGTTTCTTCAAAAGCAGCCAGGGGTGGATTACTCTACAAACTTGAAGAGGAAAACGGTACAATAGGTGTTGATGTAAGGAAAGGATTAGCTGCCAGGTATGTATATGTGCTCAGTTAGGATGGGTTTGCTAGGAAACATTCTCTTATCTTGGATGTCCTGCCATCATCCCATCTCTTTTCCCAGCATATGCAGAACAGCAGCACCAAATCCTTTTCCCCTTAAGCAGACTAAGTTCACATTCCCATGTTTTTCTTTAGACACCTCCCACCCAAATGGCCCACAGATGCACCTCTGTGGAATAACAGAAGGGTTTTGTCAACCTGCCATGCCCCAGCATCCCAAATAATTCTGGACTGCAAATTCCATGCTGTGGCTAATGTTCCTTCTCTGCTCTCACAGAATTTTTAAAAATCACATATCACATATGTGACTATCTAGCATTGACTATCCATGGCCAGAGTAGAAGTTGTGCCTAATGGTGGTTTTTATGCCATCCCTACCTGAATAGGTATACAGCACTGCAACAGTCTACGACTCACCACAGGCCAAAGAACTATCAAAGGACAGATGGGAAAACCAAACCAAAACAATAACAAACAACCAATCAAAACAGTCTGAGCCCGGAATTAACAGCTTAGAAGACTGATGAAATAGGAGTTTCAGACAACCTGGGTAATGCTTATTAACAATTATTACTATTGTCTATTCTCCAAACAGTCTTCAACCTACTGTAACAGCACACTGTTTTTATTGCCCTGGGACTGCTGGATAACCAACATTAGTTTTTCCACCAGGGCTACTGATAAATAACATAGACAAGAGAGATTTTCAGTTTTCCTGAAGCTGCTGGATAGACCTAAAAGACTAATTAGCAAAAAAAGGTAAAGGTATGTGAAAGTAACTGGAACCAGTGGATGAACAGATAATAAGGAAAACAGTGGTGTTTTTGCATGTAACAAGAAGCAACAGCACTTGCCGGAAGAAAAAGTTCAAGGAAAGGACACCTGTAATATTGAAACATTCGTCAATACAGCCATCACAGACCCTGTCAGACAAGCCTTTAGAAACCTGAAAGGACTTCCAGCAGGACACAGATGCATGCAAATTAGCTCTAGGAAAAGTGATGTTTATGTATAAGCTAGGAAGTATATTGTAATGAATATGTATAATCATGATGGAATAAATACCCCACTGTAAAATTTCACGACACATATTTGATTAGAGGATATATGCTTGGGGTGTGTCCAGCGCTGTAATAAAGCATGCCTGCTTTCTAATACTTCAAGTTGTGTTAGAAAGCTTATTTCCTGGCCAATTTCAGTACTGCTACCCACCTCATAGTTTTCTCGTATCCACAGCTGCCGTTCAAGAAAGGTCTCTTTTTGATGATCTTCCAGGCTGTCAAACTGAGACTGAGACAATTTCATGTACCTTCGTATGATATACAACTTCTCTTCCACACCATACTCTTGCCCTTTAATAGTGAAACAATAAATCCACCAACAGTACCAAACTATGTATTTGCACCAGTAAAAAGGAGCAAGAAGGATCTGAAATAGGAGGATATCATATATTTTGGGCTTCTGATAACCACCCTTTATATCTATTTTATTTTTAATAATGTCTTTGATAATTTCTTCCTCCTCTTCACGAATTTCTTCTTTAGACCGCCTGTTCTTGCCTTTTTCTTTAGTCTTGTTGAGTAAACCTTGTTGCCTGGCAATCTCAGTAGCTTGTATACGGTATTTTGGCACAGATGCTAAGTAGTTGATAGCTTCATTGTAACTACTCCACCAGCTGAAGAACTGTAATTTAAAAACAGTAAAAGTAAAAACCATGTTTTAATACAGACACATTCCTATCTGGGGGTTTGCCAGGAAAAGAAAAAAGTAATGCTGTCACACACTTTTAACCACAGTTACATTACAGTAAGGGTAAAAAGTGAAGTTAACACTACTTCTGTGGTATCACAGAAGCTATCCCTCCAGGCTCAGTGAAGCACTTGGAAAATGGATGTATACAAGTGAATCTCACAGCAATTTATGATGACAAGGAAGGCCAAGCGGACACTGTTCTGAACAATTTTGTTCCTGGGTAGATGGCAATCTCCTGCAAGTTCATAACAGGCTGTGCCAGCCATTCTCAGAAGCTTCTCTTCTTATATTTACAAATATAGGAGATAGTATACGGATATTTAAGTATAAAATTGTTTTAAAACAGTTCAACTAAGTATGTGACAATCTTATTAGTCTGAGAGTGTCCACTTTACAAGACTCAACATACCTCCACTATCTCCAGCTGCCCTCTGGATTTCAAGGGAATGGGGGAAAAAAACCCCAGACAACAAACCAGAAATTTACTGCCCGGATGAACACACAATTGTAGAACATCCTGAACTGGAAGAGACCCACAAGTATCATCAAGTCCAACTCCTAGCCCTGTACATCACAACCCTGAGAATGCTTCCTTCTGAAGACAGAAGAAGCACAGACTAGCTGAGAGCTGATGTTACTCCCATCTAGCATCTTGTAAATGACCTGAGATCAGGCATGGAAAACACGGAAGAAACTAGACAGGAAAAGAGGGAAAAAGTTAGCAGCTCACTTTCATTCTTGGGACATCCAAGCATGTCTCACTGACACAACTTTTTTAACCATGACGCATCTCACACCATTTACTAAGACCAAGCGCAGACATAAACCCACTATACAGCCTTAGCAAAGGCCAAGGAGCAGAAACAACAGAAAGCAAGATGGGCAAACCAGTTTACACAGATGCTTACACTGAATTTAGAAGCATTTTGCAGTTGGGACTCCAGGAAAGTGAGTGTCTGCACTTACAGACAAAATAAGAAATAAGATGTGAAATGAACATGGCCACTACTAAATCTGAAGATAAATTAGGTATTTGGATGAATGCCATTAGAATTTATTATTCCAAGTTCTCAAATTCTGATCAACATACTTTATATTCTAACTTCCAATATCCTACTGAACACTGACCTACCTGCACCACAGCTTAAGCTGTATCTTCCTCTCTTAAACTTGAGTATTTTTAATGATGTTTTGAACCAGTGATTTAAAAGATTCTAAAGAGAAGTTATGCACTTTTGTCCTCTTGTCATCAACAGCACAAGCATTTTCACCTAAAACACAGGGGGTTTTCTTGGCCTTGGATCTACCACCTTCAGAGTAAACTCTGCTGAACTGGATTTGCTTCTCTCCAGATTTCATCAATGTGGTATTTAAAATACACCGCAATGCGAGATTCACACAAGTTTAGTAAACTCCTGATATTCGGTCCTATCATCTGAATTGAGGCTTGAATTCAGTTTGCTACACTGTTGGTTTTTTTAAATTTATTTATGCATCTTGACAAAATGACAATGTTATTTGGGGCACTAGTCCTGCCTGAGCTACTCTGAGCCTGCCAGGAAGAACCAAGTAAATTCTTCAGAAAAGATGCACCTTGTCTCAACAAAATTAAAAGAAACTTAACCTCTACCTTTGTTCAAGGTACCAAGGGCAGTCAAAAATCTGCAAAATACCTCGTGACTTCAGCATTTTTATGAACACCACACAGACCTGAACCACAGCATGGAGAAACAGGGCTCCTCACTGACACTTTTTATTAAATGGCACATTATGAGAGCTGCCGCTACTTCTCTTCTTGTTCAGAAACTCAGAGAGCAGTATGATGTAAACATGAAATTTTACCTGAAACACAGAGATGGCACACACTGTAACTAGGATTACTATTGTGACATCTACTTTAGGTGCCAGTCTCCTGCGGTAGTAGTGGTAGTAATGCCTGTAATACTCTTCAGGATGATCCAGCATGTAGTCATAATCTTTACGTGTTTCTTCATCCTGCAGGATAACATGAAAAACTCATTCAGGTTTAAATTCCTGCTTTCACTTGCTCTACTGCACATGTGTTTTACGTCTCATTAAGGACCATGCTTCTGTAAAACTGGCAGCACCCCAAGGGAGTATGAGACATAGAGGAAATTTGTCATTTTCTCATATTCTCTATTAATTTCTCACACTTATCTGCCCATGCACATATATGTTTAGTCATAAAATGAATAGGCAGGCACTGTGCAAAGACATTTAAAACTAGAAAACACACAAGCACCTAAAATCCATAGAGTAAGTTATTTAACTTCAGAATGGGAAGTCCAGCTGGACTGGAGTTAATAAGTACTGCTCAGGAAAAGATTTTCAGATGAAAAACCTATTAGGAAATTGCTTTACAAAACTTAAAGGAATTAGTTTACAGGGCTATGGAATCTGTCCAATGGAAGGCCCAATCAAAACCTCATTGTTCTCATGTCTTGTGAGTTTTTCATAATTTTCCTCCATGTAACTGCGGGATGGGAAAGATAGTTTTGCCAGGCTCAACTGAATTCCTTCCAAACTCGTCCCCACTTCACCCCCAGCAAAAAAAAAAAAAAAAAAAAAAAAAAAAAAAAAAAAAATTCCCTTTTCTAATCCCTTGTAGCCTTAAAACACTTACACGTCTCCTTCTTCCATTCCTGGATTCCATCTTTGCCAAGTCACACATGCTTTGCCCTGAGAAGCCTTCCCTTACAGATCCCATATGCTACTCGAGTAACTGCTACTTTTAAAGGTATACAGCCAAGATAAAGCCTAGTCGGATCGTTATAAATAAATAAATGGATAAATAAAACAGATAAGTAAATAAATGTGAAAAGAATGTATTCTAGACACAGAAGGATCTTCAAGAGCACTCCATCCTCCTTCCCGCACTCTCGGGCTGGCTACGGAAGGAGGATTTTTCGGGGTGTTTCTCCTCCCCTCCCTGACTGCTTACCGGAGCGGCTCCGGCCGCGGCGGCGGTCCCGCTCTCTCACCTTGAGGGTCTCGTACGCGGCGGCGATGAGCAGGAACTTCTCGTGCGCCGCCTGCGCCCCGCTGCCCTCGCCGCCCGCGGGCTCCCTGCGGTAGCGGTCGGGGTGGTACTGCCGGGCGAGCTGCCGGTAGGCGCGGGCGATCTCCGCCTTGCTGGCCTGCCGGCTGACGCCCAGCACCTCGTAGCAGACTCGGCGGCCGCAGTAGAGGCGGTCGGTGAGGCTCCGTGCCGGCCGCGGCAGCAGCGCCGCGCACAGGTACAGACACAGCGCCCACCGCCCGCCCGGACACCACCGCGCCGCCACCGCCATTTCTGCGCCGCCGCCGGGGCCGGGCCGCACTCCGCGCCGTGCGCGCGGCCGGCAGCGGGGCCGGCGCGGGAGGGCGGGGGCGCGACAGGGGGCGGGTCCCGACAGAGCCCGCGCTCGGGGGCGAGGGGACGGAGTGTGGCCTGCTGGGGCGCCGAGCGCCGGGACCGGCCTTTGGTGCCCGGTTTGTCACGGGCAGCTGCCGGCCCGTTCTTGCAGGCGGCAGTGTGCCCTTGCGTTGCACCCACGCCAGCGGAATCCTGGGATGCATTAGGAAGAGCATTGCCAGCAGGTCGATAGGTGATCCTGCCCCCTGTACTCAGCCCTGGTGAGGCCGTGTCTAATCTGCTGTGCTCAGCTCTGAGCTCCACAGCTCAAGAAAAACACTGAGATAGTGGAAGGGGTCCAGAGGAGGCCACACAGGTGATTTGAGGTCTCAAGCATCTCCCTCATGAGTAGAGACTGCAGGAGCTGGGCCTGTTCAGTCTGGAGCAGAGAAGACTGAGAGGGGATCTTATTAATGCATGTAAATATCTCAAAGGCAGATGCCAAGAGGATGGTGCCAGACTTTTCAGTGGTTTTCAGCGATAGTACGAGGAGCAAAGGCCATAAGCACAAGAAGTTTCACCTCAACAAGAGGAAGAACGTTACACTGAGAGCGGCAGAGCACTGGGACAGACTGCTCAGGGAAGTCACAGTCTTCCTGTCTGGAGGTATTCAAAATCCACCTGAACACGTTCCTGTGCCATGTGCTTTAGGTGGCCCTTGCCTTGGCAGGGGGGTTGGAGTAGGTGATCTCCAGAGGTCCCTTCCAGCCCCAGTGATTCTTCCAGGGAAGAAACCTTTGAAATACTTCCTGAGCCTGTGCCTGGTTTAGGCTTGCTCCTGGCAGAGCTCAGGGTCTGACCACCTGTCAGGTAGGGTCAAACACAATTTAACTGGCTCCACATTGGGAACTGCCTGGTGCACCGCCTCCATGGCACAGAATCATGTAGAACACTCCTCCTGTTGCTGCCCAAAGACACAACTGATAGGTGACCTCATCTATGTCTATAAGTATCCTAAGGGAGGGTGACAAGGTTCCACCTGAGCATGAGGAAGAATTTCTTTACTGTGCAAATGACTGCACACTGGAACAGATTGGCCAAAGAGGTTGTGGAGTCTCCCTCACCTTAGAGATTCAAGAACTGTCCAAATGCAATCCTGTGCCATGTCCTCTAGGGTGGCTGTGCTTGAGCAGGGAGGTTAAATCAGATATCCTTCCAGCCTGACCCATTCTGTGATTCTGAGTGATTCTGTATGCACAGCTCCCTGAAATGGTGGCTTTGACAGCAGGTCTGCCACCTGTGATGTCCTGTACCCAAAGATTTCTCCTGAAAAGGAGGATTACATCTCTACTCTGGTATAACCAGCAGGAACACCACCTCAGTGTTTGACCTTTCTTAGGAAAGCAGATATGGGCTTGATGCTGCAAATATTCACCACAAAATGCTCAGCTCATCACAGAGTATGTGCTCTTCTTAAAGCTAGAAATGAGTGTGCCTCCCATGTGGCTGGTCTCCTCCTCAGTCTGTCTCCTTTCTGCAATAATAAATGCTTATAATTTCCATCAGTTGTGGATGGGTCCCACATCTGCTTCCTCAAAAAAAAAAAAAAAAAAAAAAGGGGGCCACATCTTTGCAGCTCATTACTCATTAGGGCCCAGCCTCTCAACACCGGACGCTGTGAGTGAACTCCTCAGACCAGGACCTTAAAAATTGTGGTGGGTTGGCCTGGGCTGGGTGGCTAGTGCTCACCAAACTGCTGTATCACTTGTCCTTCTCAGCTGGATGGGAGAGAGAGTAAGATGGAAAACGACTTGTTGGTTGAGATCAGGCAGTTTACTAAAGCAAAAGCGAAAATTTATGCACACACAAGCAAAGAGGAAGAAGTAACTGTATTGTTTAGTTCCCATCCATAAGCCACGTCTGGCCATTTCCTGGGTAGTGGGACTTCAGGATTGTAGAGATTGCTTTGGAATGCAAACACTATAAAAAATTAATGCTCCCTGTTCCTCCTTTCTCCCTCAGCTTTTATATCTGAGCTGACATCATATGCCACAGGATATGGCTTTGGTCAGTTTGGGTCAGCTGGCCTTGTTGTGTCCTCTCCCAGGATCTTGCCCACCCCCAGCCCCCTGGATGGAGGGAGGAATGTTGGAGAGGCAGCGCTGATGCTGTGCCAGTGCTGCTCAGCAATAGCCAGAACACCGGTGTGTTATCAGCACCTTTCCAATTATCAGGACAAAGTGCAGCAAGGTGAGGGTTGCCGTGGGGGAAATGAACTCCAGCTCAGCCAGAAACATTGCACAGATGTAGCAAAAATGGTGCACAGAAGCTTTTGCCACCTTTTTTTTCCTGACTCGAGAAACAAGCTAGTCCTCTGACACCTGGGGCTTGAGCTCATGTCTGCCTTGGGTCTGGCCCTGGAGCTTTCGGGAGACGTCAGCAGCTGCCCCCGTGCCGCCTGCAGGAAGCAGTACGGGAGATGGGGAGCGGGCGCCACGCCGTCTGCTTCCAGAGGTGCCCCCGCGACGCCTCGGCTGGGGCATGTTGCCAAGATGCTCTTTACAGAGATCACACATGGCATGGCAGAGTTTGGGGGAAAGATGCGGTGCGGTGGTGTCTCTGAGTAACCCCAGAACGGCAGGGCAGGAGTTCTACCGAGCAGCTTTATTCCTTCGGGAAGTGGCTTTGGAAGAGAGGCTCGGCAGCGCCGGCGGGGGGGCGTGGCCGTGGAGCTCGGTGGGCGGGGCCTTCCCCGACTGTGGGCGGGGCTTTCCGCCCTCCTCCTGCTAGCGCCCCCACGGCCGCGCGGGGGCGCCCTAGGCCGTTCCCGTTCCGTCCCATCCCTGCGCCGCCGTGCCGAGCACGGAGCCGGCGCGGCCGCCATGGAGGTCAGCGCGGACTCTGGTCAGTGCTGCCCCCGTAAACCTCCTCCTCAGGGCCCGCCGGGCGGGGCGGCGGCGGCGGGGCCGGGCCGTGTACGCGACGGGGGCGGGCGGTGGGGACGGCAGCTCTCTCTAAATATAAACTGGTGGTGACAGAAGAGCGGGAGCTTGCCAGTGTCGAGGGAAGCCGCCGGGAGCAGGAGGAGGAGGGGGTGGAAGAGGTGGAGAGGGAGGAGGGGGAGGAGGAGGAGAAGAACAGACGCGGCCGCCGGCCCGGTGCCGGTGGCGGAGAGAGGTGGGAGGCGCGGGGCGTCTCTCGCCGCCTCCCCTCCCTCCTCAGCCGGCAACATGGCCGCGGCCGCCCAGGACGAGCTCAGTAAGTGCTCGCGGCGCAGGGACTCGCAGCGGCGGCTGGCGGGCGGCGAGCGGGCGGGCGACCCGGGGTTTCCCCGCAGCGGCTCTCCTCTGCGGTGGGGCTCGGTCCCCGGCCCGGCCGGACGGTGACGGCAGCGGGGCCGGACCGGCAGCGGGAGGCCATCTCGGGAAGCGGAAACCGGGAGCAGCGGCAAGTCCCGCATCCCCGGCCCCTCCGCGGACACGCCGGCGGCGTGACCTTGCGGGGAGGTGGCGGGGGCTCCTGGCCGGGACGGAGCCTGGGGTTGCCGGGACCTCCGACTCCGGGGAGCGGCCTCCGCCCACCGCTCCTGTACGGGCGCTAGCGGCAGCGCCTCTGCCCGTCAGTGCTCTCGCTCTACGTTGTGCGACTGCCGTGTTCGAACCACAGCAGCGATGTGAGCACAACGCCGGCTTGCACGTCCAGGGGCGGGTTCACCCAGCCCCCGGGGTGCTGTGCCGGGCCGTGGGTACGAGAGCGCATCGCGGCCGGCCCTGCAGCGCTCGGCACATGACCGGAGGTGCCGCTGCCGCCGAGCATTCGAGACAGCAGAGCTCGGCCCTGCCTTCTTCTCACTTCCGAAACCCTGTTTCAGAGACTCTGGGAAAGCACCCGCTCAGCTGCTCTTTGGAGAAGCTTATGGAACTTCAAAAAAAGCGGTTTTTTTTCCCCTTGCTTTCCGTGGCCTGGCATAAAGATGGTTCTTATCTGAAGAGTTGATAGCTAGATAGCATATGACTCAGCCAAATGAGAGGGCCTTTGGTTGCCCTGAAATAGTATTTGGCAGTTGTCAGAGAGAAAGGGCAGAAGAAATACTTTGAGCATATCTGAGCACTATTGGCTTTCACTACTAAAGAATTTCTGTGTGCTGTTTCTTCATTTGTTTATTTTTTCGTTGTTGCTGTTGGTTTTTCAGTTTGTTTTTTGGTTTTGTTTTTTGTTGTTGTTGTTGTTTTTTTTTATTATGAACTTCTGTGTAGACAATATCCTAATTCTGCTCTTTGTTAGATGTTACTGGAACTAGGCTGAGTGATATGATGATAATGGTGGGGATGTCCCTTATGTAGTAGCCAAGGTGCTATGGTGGAGTAGAGAAGAATCTTGATCCTGTGCTGATCCTAGACCTGGAGATATTTTTTCCATTGACACCTGGGATAACTTGATGTAAGGACAGTGAAAGCTCTCACTGCTGCTGTCATCCAAGAGATTCTGTTGTTAGATATACAATGCTATCGTAATTCCCCTTGGTGAAGCCAGTCAGTGAGATCTCTTCTTTGTGACTCCTTGGCTTTTATCTGTGTGTAATCTAACTTTCCAGGCTCCAGATCTGATCCTGCAAAAAATAAGTCCTCAGCTGTGCCTGTTGCTACACAGCCCTTTCTCTTAAGCTGGGCTAAAAAGACAACTATCTCTAGACTGAGATTCACATTAATAATTATATTATGTCATTCAGGTTATTTGACCACAAAATCCTTGAAAAATGAGAGAGTTTTATTGGTTTGCTTGGAATTCTTTTCTTTGGGTGGGAGGAGGAATCTCTTCTTGGAAATTTATTTTTGTGTCGTTTGGGTTTTTTGTGGTACCGCTGTGTCATTTAATAGAAAATACTGTAATCTTAAATAAAAAATTAATTAAAGCTAATGGAAAAAAAAGTAACTTCATGTCGAGAAAGAGATGGAGACTAAGCCTTCATGTGGGCTTGACGTCTTTTCATACATTCAAATAGGTAAATTTCAGCATATTTGGAAATAAATAA